AGCAGGAATCATCCAACTTACAAATATCATGACCAGGATAACACCATTATTTATCTTTGATTGGTATCTTAGAGGGTCACACACAGCATAGTAACGGTCGATGGATATGAAGGAAAGATGGAAGATGGACGCAGTGCTCAACATAATGTCCGTGCTTGTGTGGATCTTGCAGAACAGCTCCCCAAAGTACCAGCAGTTCTCAACAGAGCGCACCATGCTGCAAGGCATGATGAGGAATCCCAGCAAAAAGTCTACTGTAGCCATAGAAAGTATCAGGAAATTGGTAGGTGTATGGAGCTGCTTGAAATGTGATATTGAGACGATAACTGTCAAGTTACCAACCACTGTGGCCAGAATAATGCAAGCCATGAAGATATACACAGAAACACGGATACTGTTTGACCAGCTGTTCCTTACGCAAGAGCTGTTTAGGGAGTCACAGCACAGCTGCATCCTTACTGAGGTCTCAAATCCACATAGATATGCAGCACAGATACTGTTTTTTCTAATGCTGAGATGTACTTATAACTGTCTTTTTCTCTTCTGTATGGGGAGAGCTGCAGGGAGGAAATAAAAGGGCAACTGTAAAAACCTTCATTTATTTGGATGTGTAGGAAATGCACATTTCATTATTTATGAAGTATTAAACTATTTTGTAACAATACTTTTAACAGAATAATACTTTTCTTGTGAGACTTCCCTTGAAATGGAAGTCTCATTTGATAAAATCAACTGTATGTCTTGTATAGTGGGCAGATGAGACGATCTTTTCATTATTTTCTGTTTAAACTGTCCTAGTCTTCATCATCAAAATTGTTTGGAGTACTGTCTCTCTCCCTTTGCTCTTGAAAATTAGTAATTTTGGATTCTGGAGCTCCCTCAAATAATTTTTTTCATACATGAATCAAAGACCTAGAAGTCTGAAACAGAAAGCTAAGGCTGAGGACCCCAGGCTCAACCTATCCCCAGCCCTCTCCAGCCACAAGTGAACCAGCTGTGCAGCCTGGCCAAACCAGATGGCACTGCCTGACCAGATCAAGTCTTACTACAAAATTATTGTAGGCTTTAGCTGTAAGAAAAAATATCTAAGAGTTTTCCGACCTTTTGCTGCTAAATACAATGGAAGAGCCTAAGTAATCTGAAGCATTAGGTGTTGTATAAGCAAATATCTTTTCTGTTGGGCTCTACTTCAGTTCCACACTAGTAGTTTAGTATTATTTTGTAAATTTATTATGTTAATACTCCTTTTAGCCAAGGCATAAACATGGAGGGAAAAAAATTTCTGAACGTTGGTTTAGTCTGCAACTGAGGACACAAATACTAGCTGTCCTCTGTTCACAGTAGCATGTTCTGTTTGTGAGTATCTTTACAAAACTGTTTCATGGAAGTACTTAAGCACTTAGTAAGCAATTTTCATTGTTGAAAGATCTGGTTTTCCTATAATTAACAGAGAAATAGTGTTGTGAAAAATAAAGAACATTAGCAAATGCTATCCAGCAGCATTTCCGTTATGGTGTAACATGATTGTTTAAGTCAGCAAAATACTGACATGGCAAAACCAGCTAGAAGTAATTTAGCCCATTTACTTCAGGACTTTGCTGCCTCTGGATATTGTGGACAGAACACAACAGAATAATTAGATTTTTTTCTATTGAAACAAACATTATTACAAGCACACCATGCAGTCAGAAGCTAAATGGAAGCTGAATATAGATGACAAACTGGAGTTTACAAAACCCTGACAGCTACAGGGTTATAGCTAACAGCTTGTGTTTACAGAGAGGTTTTCAAGTAGTGCCAGGTAGTGGCATTCAAGTGCCAGGGTGAAGGTCCATCCAGAGGCACTCTCAGGAGTATAGGCCACAATCTGAGTATATTTATTTACTTTTTGGGATGCCTCATTTCCCTCTTTTTCTACCTACTAATGTTAATCACCATCTCTGCTCTTTTTCACTACACTTTAATTATCACTTAATGTGTTTCACTTTTGGTCAGTCTTTTCATGTTTCTTTTCCTGCCTGTTACTCCTTTGTTTGGTGTATTTACAGCCAGGTGGACGAAGGACGTCCAGGTGGATCTTTATTAACTCAACCTTCAACTTCCAGAGCAGAAAGAATTAAACACTGAATTAACTGCACATACTCAACATAATGATAAAAGTTTTTTAGCTCATTCCGGTTATAAATGTGTCACATAGATTTCAGCCTTCATTTGTTTTATGTGTAAATAAAGTAAGACAGTAAAATAGGCTATGAAACCAATAAAAAAGAATTAAGATGCTATGTCTAGTTTTCTGTTTAAAAGAAGAACAATTTCCTTATTGTTCTTTGACAGATAAACTTTTTAGCCTAAAAAATACAATCTCCCCTGGAAAATATTTTTCTTAAAAAAAAAAATAATCTTATTTTCAGGAGATTTTGGTTTATTTGTTAAATAAAAAGAAGAAACTGCAAGCAAAATATTGAGCAAACTGAAAGTGTGTGCCTTTGCTTGAAATGTGAATAAAATAAATAAAAATTAATGTGTCAGACTGCCCACAGGAGCTAAACATGGAGTAAGTTTTCAACAAGAAAGCAGAATACTTCACTTCCATAACTGTTTCAAAGTTTAAAATTCAATACAATGGAAATATGAAGAAGTATCCTTTGAAAAACCTATCCTCCTACCTTTCTTCCTTCACGATGGGTAGAAGTCTGCTCTTCACACTCACTTGTTTTCTGGTCATTGAGTGGCAACTCTTCCTTTTGAAGACCATCTCAAAAGACAGCCTCTTCACCATCATAACATCCACAGTTTGAGCAGCCTCCAGAAGCCCCTGGCGTGTTTCTGGAGGGTGTTTGGTACAATGAATAGCCTTCTTGGCTCCTTGCTCAGGAGGAGCTGTTAGTGTGAATAGTAGCTCAAATGGTTTATTTTGTCACCCACAAAATCATGGCTGCAACAGTGAGATTTTTTAATGGGACTTATTTGTAGGCAAATTTACTTCATATGGAGTTCATTTACTTGTTTGATTAAATGTGTAGTCACATTGGGAGCAGCCCAAGACCATCTAGGTGCAGAACAAAAAAGATAGCCTCCCTTCTGTAAGCTTCTAAAATATAGCAAAATAGGTAAGTTACAACAGCATGTAAGATTTCCTTGGAACGATATATTGTGTACAGAACAACCTGATGTGTATTTACCAGTCTAGTTCTGATTACTCTACTGAACAAACAGATTTAATCCATCAGCCTAATCAGTTAATAGCTATTTGCAAGATACAGCTACTAAAAAGGTGTTTAAAGTAAACACCTATTATTGGCTGTGTGGGAGTCACAGATGAGTAACATCAATTTTTTTCTCCACAAAGGGCCATGCAGCCTTTTAAAACAGTGATACTATTGAACGTAAAGGACTGTTAATATGGTGACCATCAGCTAAAGCCCAGTTATGTGGGGTACCTGAGGGTTATATGCACCAGGTAATTAAGATACTAATTCTTGCAAATTACACTTCAGGACCTGTGTTAGCTGCTTCATTATATTATGTGCACAAAAATAAAAATTAATGCAAACAACTCAGTTCTTTTATTTTTATTGAAGCTGCACTCATAAAGGTGCTGGAGTGTTGCAATGCAAGGTTCTCCTTGCTATGAGAAGAGGGCTTGCCAACCAAAGAAAATGCAGAAACAACCATCCAGCTGAGTGAGAATTGTTCAGTGTTGGGGAAATACCAAAGAGACATTAGGCAGCCAAGTACTGGTCTCAGAGAGGTCATCACCCTTTTGAGATTCATAGCTGTGGGCCTTCCTAGAAGCCAGACACTTCTCGAGGAGGGAAAGTTTAGTAATTACCATCTTGACATACATATTTTGGGACTTTGTGAAACCTGGTCTAGTGGGAGGTGGTCCTGTCCATGCAGAGGGTTGGAACTAGATGATCTTTAAGGTCCCTTCCAACCCACAACATTCTGTGATTCCATCATACATTTTATAGGAAGGTAAAATTTAAGGGAACAAATCCATGTTGCCTCACTGTACAAAACTCATAGTTATAAAGAAGTCTGGTGGCCAGTTCATTATGGGAACTTAGTCAAAGGGCACCCATGGGTGCAGACCCACTGTTCTCCTGCTGTGCCTCTTCTTTGGGTCATGCACTGGCCAAAATTCAAGGGAACCATTGGGATAGGCAGGTCTGCTTGAACTGTTGGGGTTTTTTTTCAGGAGCAGGTACCTCTCAGCAAACAGTCAAACTTCTGGGGGACCATCTGGGGCTTGGGAGCCTTTCTCTGCCCTGAGCAGCTCTGCTCCACTGCAGGCAGGCAGGCATGCAGCAGCCACCTGTGAAGTCTGGAGTTTTGTTTTGGAGAGAAAGGAACCTGGTGATGCTAAAAGTAAATTTCGTCCCTGATATCAGGACAGCTGGGCTCTCATCTCAACTTTACTTCTGAAGAAGACATGACTAACCCCTGGGACTGGCCAGCTTTCCTGCTCCTACCAAAATGCTCTCTGGGACAAGAGCTGCAAGCATCTAGCATGTACTTTGCAAAGAGTGAGTTTTGCTCAGGGAAGTAGCTGAATCATCATCCTTGGAGGGATTTAAAAGAAATGTAGTTGTGGTGCTCAGGGACATGGTTTAGTCATGGACTTGTCAGTATGCTAGGTTAATGGTTGGACCTGATGATCTTAAAGATCTTTTTCAACCAAAAATATGCTGTGATTCCAAAGGGGAGGAGAGAGAGTGGACTGGGGCTGGTAAGCATGACTCCCTGCAGTGGGGATGGGACCAGCCTAGGGATCAGCAGGTGCCTTTGACAGCCCCACAGCAGCAGGGGCTGCCCAAGGCCAGAGGAGCTAGAGGGCACAGCAGGATGTGTCTGTATAGACTGTTTTTGGAGATGCTCTTCACTCTTCTATAAAAGCCAACCCATGATCATAGCATTTAGCATTCCTAAACTCTGCATGTACCAGCTTGTACTGCACATTGGAAAGGAATGAACCACAGACCTGAAGGAAGCTGCAAGCATGGGGAGGGTGGTATTTAATAGCAACTTTACTGAAATGAATTTAAAGCAGCAGTTTCTAAGGTATCAAGGTAGTTAGCAATTAAGTTGGCCAAATTGTCAACTAATTTAGAGCAACAAGGAACACTTTGGTAACAAGCTGTCATGCTGTTGGTGCAGAATGGGCTTCTTAGTGCTAATATGGATCATGGAAATATTCTCATTCTTACTATTTATGGTATCAAGGAGAAATATGTCAAGCTCTATTTTTGGGAGACCTCAGAACACATAAATAGCAAATGTTTAACAGCTGTTTGAGTCTGCAATATATTAAAACAGTTCTAAATCAAAACTGGAAGTAAAAACTTGTCTACAAAATCATTGCTGTGGCTTTCTTTTCTGCAAAACTTACATTTCTGCAATAGTTAGTTTGCAGATTTTTGTAAAACATAGAAAAAGGGGTGGTGTCACACTGCCTAGCCTACCTTGGGTCACCTACATATCTCATTTGTTTTGAAAGCATAAAATAATTAACATGGAAAACAGCACAGCAGGGAACGGAAATAACAGAAAATAACACTTTTGCCAACCCATCCGAAAAAATATTTAAAATAATTGTTAAAAAATGATTCTGTCCTTCATAGGCAAGACTATGAAAGGAGCACTGGAAATGGGAAGAAACAGAAAGGTCCTCAGGAATCTTTTATCATGAAAAAAAAAAAAAGAAAAAGAAAAAGAAGCAGAACAGCACTGATTTCTGCTGTGATTGTTTTAGTTTGCTTTTCTATGGGTACAGTTGGATCATTTGATAAAAAATACCATTGTACAGTATCCATTAGGCAAAGGTAAGTTTCTTATTTTCTTATTTATGGTTCATTTTAAAAAACAGGTCTCTGTAGAGGGGAGCCATGGATTTCAAACTACTGGAGGCTCTAAGGTGGACCCAGGGTTGGAGAGGAATTTGAAAATATGTAACTCCACTCACCATTTATGCAGTCCTCTGGAAAACAGACACAGCATTACAAAAAATTATCTTCTTAATTTTCCATTCCTATGTTTGAAACCTGGGGAAAACGCACAAATTCCCAATGAGTTATTCAAAATAAATACTTCATTATATGGGTTAAATAAGATGTGCCAAATAGTAGTTTGCATGCTATTGCTGCAAACCTAACGCAATTCCATTGAAGGCAATCAGAAATAAGCCTAGATTTATACCAGAGGAATTTAAAGAACTGATGGGATGATTGACCTCTAGATTTTTCCTATGTTTTATATTCTTACTTTTCAATGGAAGCCATCACTTTGTTGCCAAGTAAAAAAGAGCTGTTTATACAGAGTAATGCAATGTTTGTGCTCTTTCTCAAAGTGCACTGCTTAGGATGAGGGCTATAAATCCAAAACTCAAAATAAATGTAAATTTCTGAAAAGCACAGAGGAATAAAAATTTCCAAGGAAATAATGCCCTCTCTCCCCAGGAGGGTGAACAAATCCCCCAGGCACCACAGAAAGCAGAGGCAGTGAGGTCCCCTGTGCCTCTCCAGTGCTCTTGTGCACCCACCAATGCCATGGGAGTTAATTTAGGACTGTGGCTGGTTCACAGGTATTCGGAGGCCTCCAAACACCATGTCTGTTATGCAGGCAAACGCAGAGGGAGTCAGTGGGCTGGAAACAGGTAACATCCCAGCTTTGTCATTCTGCATCCTCACAGCCCTGGAATAACTTAACAGAAAGTGAAGAGCCTGAATTGACAGTTGTGCATTAAAAGAGTTTTGGAACCTAGCTATCTTTCTCTTTCAGCTCTTGAGAGCAAATAGGTTTTTTTATCATCTCAGCCACCACCAAAACATCATTGCTGTTGGTGCTACAGAAAGAACGCAGTAATCTGTGCAGAACCACTACCACCTTCAGTTCTAACTACAGAAGATACATCTTTGAAACAAAACAATTTCTCAGACTAGCATGTTAGAAGCTCACAGTATTTCAGAGTGCATGACATGGAGATGGTACCTGCTCAGGAGTAACTTCCTCATCTCGGACCTGTGCAGCCTGCGGAGCCAGTGCAATGGTGACTCATCCCACACGGAACATCACACAGCTGAGCAGCTGCAGCCTTGGTCTGACTCTGGTTTACAGCCTGCTGGAAAGACCTTTTCAACAGGGTGACGTAAATATTAACTCTTCAGGAAAGATAAGCAAATAATAGATCTGTTTTTACTGAAGCCACTAGTAAATGCAAAGATGGCAGCATTTAAAATAAGTTAAAGCCAAACTCATGGAAAGAAGCATACAAAATAAAGACAAATATTTATTATGGTCAAATTACAGATGGAGCTAGCAGCACTGAACTGCTTTTAAGATAGCTTGATGTGTCTCTCCCTCCTTTCACTTTTGTGCAATGTTGCCAGACTTTAGCAATTTCAATAATATTTGAAAAAGTTGTTTATTTATCCCAGAGTAGATATTAAAAAAAAAACAAAACAAGCCCAACCACAATACTTCAACAGCATCTGAGAACAAGACCAATAAAAAATATATTGTTTCCTCCTAATTATAAAAATTCTGCTTGACTTTTATTTACTATGTTCTAGCGTTTATCTGCTTTGCAACAGCAGGGACTTAAGAGATGTTGATGGCCTATTTGTGTATCTCATACCATACCAGTGGAACTATGTCTAAATATGGCCAAATTACAAATCAGCAGTGGCCAAACTGCAGCTCATTGCTTTTTAAAGCACAGCTCATTGGCCAGCATCTGCATCTTCATATAGAAATATTTTTAGTATCGCTGTGGAACTCAAGGATAAGAGTCCTTCCAGACAGAAGTAATCCCAGGGAGAACTGATGTGCTTTGGGTCAGCCTTCCAGCTCTTGCTGCACTGAGGCTTCTCAGAGTCATGAGCAGCATCTGCGTGGCTCAGGCTGCAGTTTCTCTCTGGTGATTGGGGTGGGGTTGGGAGATAGGAAATGCAAGGTGATACAAGGGTCTGAACAAGAGGGAGAACTCTTGGTGAAATGAAGGTCTTGAAATGCGACATTCCAGTCTGGAAGTGTGGCTACTCTATTGGAAGCCACTGAAATCTAAAATTGCCAATAAAGGCTCATATGTTAGTAAAGAGTCTGCTGAAGCCTCTGTTCTCATGCACTACTCTTTGTTGCCTTTCACAAAAGCTGGATTTAGCAGTAAGTGAAGGCTGTTTTCCTAGAAGTATTGAATAAGCTTGATTGTTTCTACTTGCCCGTTTGCAAGTCCAGTGGACTGCAGATGCCATTTGTAAGGAAGGGGACCTCCCAGTACCATCCTTTGTTTCCACGTTGTTTGTTCCTGCAGGAAGCAGCAATGCTGTGCAGAAGCATTGCTGGTACCATGACACTGCAGGAACAACAACTCAACTAGTGCAGAAACTCCCTGTGTCAGCAGCGGTGCCCTTCTGTGCCCACCCTCGCTGCCCAGTCTCAGCAATACATGTGTGGGGAGCCTGATTTTCCAGCAAATTATTTCATTTTTCTCCTCAGTAGCAGCTCTGTGTCCTTTGAATATTCCTTTTTGGTCACCGAAGGAGAGGTAAAAATGCACTGGAGTTAGTTTGTGCTTGATTTATTTTTTGTTATCAAGTTCCTGTTTGCTATCCACCTCCTGCACAATACCTGTGAGACTGAAAGGGAACAGATGGCAATGACAGGAGGTTTACCTGTTTAAATGTGCCTCTACCAGCCTGCATAACTTTTTGCTCATGCAGGTGAGGGTTGGTGAAGGGAAAGTAAATATTTCTCTTTTTTCTATTCTCCCTCCCCTTTCCTCCTCTCTGTAGTCCATTTTGTTCTTACCTGCAATTGTTGCTGTTTCTTCCTTCATTGCCTTGCAACCCTTGCTTCTCCCAGCTGCCCATGTGGACTAATGCCCTAGATGAACCACCTTTGTACAGGTCCCTTTCCTCCTTTTTAAGATACTGTGTCTGTATCTGTTACCACACATTATTAGGTGGGTCATTTCACACCGCAGGTTTTGAAGATTTCACTGAACATTTGGTCATTTTCTGGGAGGATGCTAGGACTTCATTTTTACACCTAGTCAGCACTTGCATTTGAAGCCAGTGGCAATCATGTTTTGACTATATACAGTATTTTTGTAATATGAATGATTCTGGCATCTCAAGCTAGCTGCCTAAATTAGTGTAACATTAGTTACGTTGTTCATCATCTCCTCATCTATATTAGAGGACAGATAAAAATTACTTCTGGAAGTGCTGTGATTGTAAATGTTCATAAGACATCAGGATATTACCCAACAATGAGCCTTGGGAAATCAAAGAGGAGAATGGGTTGCATCCTCAGTGACAGAAAAACAATAAATGTAAGAAAAGACTGCAGAAAACAGCTGGCATTGTAAGACTCCCTTAACAACACACAAGAGTTGTTACATTAAGTGATGCTCAACCCTTAAATGCAAGAGGTTTTGTGGCTGCTTTTTGTTTAGTCTAACTCTGAACTTGGAGGAATCCCTGCAAAAAGATGCTGATTTTAACTTGAATAGACCATCTAAAATGCCTAGTGTAATATTAAAGATATGCTCAGAAACTCTTCACCAAAATGAATGTTCAAGCCTGTTGCTAGGTAATGACGACTGATCAAAATTGAGGATTTTTGTGTAGCTCTAGTCCTTATACACACAGCCATCCGATACTCCTGAGTTACAGCTAAAGGACATCTGTTATGAAAGGCACCACACATGTATTTTTATGCACACCTGCCAAAGATTTCTGTCCTTCAGCCTAGCTACCAGGAAATAAACCACTGTCCACTAATGACCACAATTTTACAGCTTGCTCTTCCATTTTATATCTCAGTGTCAAATATATTTGATTTCTACCTAGGCAAGTATAATTCTTCTTTTGAACAATGACTTTCCATTAATGAATTATTGTCCTTTTGCAAATTGATTAGGTTAGCTATTGCAGAAAACTCAGCATGAAGAAAACTCTGAGAAAACTGGAGAGGACAACCATGAACCAATTAGGGGATAGGAATTAAACAAACGTTTGTACATTCTTGATCAATTTTAGTACAGTTTGTCAGCTGGGTGACAAACCAAGACACTGAGGATTTTACAGGGCTAGAGAACCTAACTTCTGCCAAGGTGGAAGCTATATACCAGGTCACTTGCTGGCGTATTCACTGGATGCAAACAGTTCCAGCACTGAATAGCCTCCAGTGCAGCCAGCCAGCACTGACAAGCTGTTGATCAGAGCTGCCAAGCAGAATAATTTGGAGGTTTCATTTCCAAGTTTTGGCTCAACAGGCATGTCAAAGGTATGATGATTCATGCTGAGTTGTGACAAAGATGTTGTGGCAGGTTTTGTTTCAGGGTTGGCTCTTTCATTGGAGCTCTTGCTCAGCCTCCATGATGTGCTATCCTGTGCTGTCATGTTACACATGCTGTGCAAGATTGGCATAAGAACAACAAAACCAAAGCAACACAAATAGGGGAAAATAAGTGTAAGTGAGGTAAAAGAGCAGACTTGCATAGGTCAGAATAAGTAGTTTATATCAGAGACAAAGCATTATTGACCCTTTTTCTATAGAATCACATCTTTCACTTTTTTATTTACTGGTGTCATAATCATCTGCAATTAGAAAATATGCAATGCCATTTTAATAAGAATGTGTAATCTGGCCCACAATACATTTTTTCTCAATAAATGGTAGCAATAAAATAGTATTGCTGCATTATTACTAAACAAAACACATCAATAAGAAATTTGTGCAACTGGAAATAAGAAACAGAGTTGGGACTGTTGTAGGAGAGGATGATGTGTCTCATTTGTACAGATTAATTGAGTACAACTTCAGCCATGGCATTATCACAGGATGGCTGTTGGTCATGGGTCTTGTTTCAGATGGTCCTTTTCATACCATCGTCCAAAAAGCGTCACAGTGACAACTGGTTTTGTTGGTCTTGTTTTGCTTATCAAGCGCCCATCGCTCAATACCTGATTGAGAAAGTAAGAGGAGCACACAATTAGAGGAGTAACCATACAAACAGGCTAAGAGCTCAGGAAGATGTGACAAAACAGGACAAGATACATGAGACCATAACTCATACTGAATCTAATGACTTCATTAAAAGGTATTTAAGAGATCTGATTATTCACTATGAGCCCTTTCCCTTTGGCTGTTTTGAGACACCTTATTGCATTACTGTCCCACAGAGAACCTAGCATGACACAGCTCCAGGGTGCGCCATTACCTCAAACTCCCCAGGGGCCAGCTGCACTCCACTATACAAGACTTCTGGAAAGATATAGTTGGTGCCAAAGGTGCCACTGAGGGAGAACATCTCAAACTTGGTGTGAGCCGTCTCCACCGGCTGCCCGCACGTGCTCAGGTCTGTGCTCTTGCACTTGAGCAGTGTGCATATCTGTGGGGAAGGGTAGAAAACAAGGTATTTAGCAAGAGGAGAACACTCTGGGAGGAAAGCCTTGTGTCATCAAAGTTACTGTGTATTAGAACAGGTGACAGTCACAGGATCTCTATTAAATTATGTTTAAGCAACTCTTTTTAGTTGTAGTTTATATTTTCCCCCTTGATGTGATTGGGGTTATTCTAGATCTGCATTGCCTTAGTAGAAATAACCTGCTTGTGAGAAAAGTGTTGCCATAGAACCTTATTTCATCCCTGAAGCCAAATCCTGTCATTTCCACTGATTCTTCTTATGGCCACATCTCTTGTTTGAAGGCTTATTTCCCGCATGTCTTGGTAAGATGAGTTTGTGAACAGAAATTTCAGGCAAATGAAACAAAGTGCTCCTCATGGGTATGTTGTGCAACTGTACACACAGGTCCTCTTACTGGTATTTGTACGTGTTGCTAAGGAGAACTCATCAGCCTGGTAGTCCATGGGAAATCTGATTTTGATGTTCTCCATCCAACTCCTGGTGAATATATGTCAAGATGATGATAATTTGTTGCAGTTTTGTGTTAGTAGTTGCAGCATATAGAGGGAGGTAGGAAAGGTTATGTTTTCCTTTTGTTCTTAGAGTTAATTATCCAGCTGATAAATGTTTATGAACATCATGAAGAAATATGCAATGGGGCTAGCACTCCTGAGAAGATTCAAGGGATGTTTGCTGGGTTTGCTGACAGGTGATGGAGGAGTTTTTTAATTTGTGTCAGGTACTGGGGAACACAAGAAGTGTGTTTGCAAACATCAGAAGTATTATTCATCAGCAAATATGGTTTTGTGTTGAAATGCACATAAGCAGAGAAATAAAGAATAAAATTTTCTCACTATGTTCTAATGGAATGAAAAAAAATCAGAGGGAAAAAAAAGAAGACTGGAAATTTCTGTCTTCTCTTGAAAATTCTGTACTGATAGACACTATTTGCCAGCTTCCAGAATAACTGAAATAAGTTTTTCAAATGAACTCATCTGGAACTTGGAATTTATTCAAGCTAAGCATGCCTATAACAAGTGATTATAGTCGGGGAACTTGGAAATGGTTCAGTGATCTCTCCACTTTTTAGCAACTACCTCCCATTGCTAACAAATAGGACACCAGGACTCCAGCATACAAGAAAGTCATTGTCTTTTCCCTCCATGGAGCTGAAGGTTTCTCCCTGTAAAGAAGCTTCCTAAAATAAGCACTGCCTCTCCAATGGATCATTACCTGCAGATAGTATTGTCCTTCAACAACATGAAGCCCATCAAATGCACCTAGAACATAAACTTCATCTTCTTGTTTCCCTGCCACCTTGTAGCTCAAGTGACAGCAGAGGTCCTTCTGGCAAACAGTGCGGTTCCCTTCAGGCTTTGTGAGCTCAGTCAAAGTGAATCGGTCGTGGAAGATGAGTCCTCCAAATTCATGGTCATTTGGAGAGAATCTTTTGACACTTGAAGCATAGGAGCTCCAGTTGACAGCAGGAGGGGAGGGAGGAGAAAGGCGAGGGTGTGAATCTAGTTCAGCAGTGAGGAGGCAACCATCCTCGGTTTTCATATTGTAGTAGTAAGTTCTGGCTCTGTCTGGTGCATAAATACCACTTCCTGAGGAGTTAATACAGAAAGAAAAAAAATGAATCACATTGTCATTCAAATTGTTCTTACTGCTAGCTTATCTGCTTCTGGATAAATAAGACGGAAATTGTAGTCTCACCAAAGGTGACTGTTAACAGCTCAGTACATAGAGATCCTGCTTTGGCAAAGAATAGCTTCTAATTGCCTGGGTGATGTCTGCTCAGGATAGCCAAAATGTCACAGGGCTGTCAGTGGGTGTTATCTCCCCAGTTCTCTTTTGTCCCGTACACAAAGAATTGCTTATGAATTCCTTTACTCCTGGCTAGTGGATGTAAAAGAACCATCTGCCCATTGAGATATTAGCATACATTATTATAATGTATTTCTTGTTTTATAAATACGTATTATTCCTTTGCAATATTGCCTTGCAGAACGGGGATTAAAGATTCATAGGCAGAAGGATTTTTCAGACAGAGTGAGGATTAATTAATTACCTGTCATAGATGAGCCAGTGTAGTGTGTATTAGCAGCTAGGAAGTTGACACCCATGCCCATGGCCCAGGCAGAGTGAAACTCAACCGCAGTCAGAAACGGCAGGACGTTCATCCACGCCGTTGGGAAGAGCACGGTGTCCACCTGCAACTCACTCACCAGGACCACAGCAGGCTTGTGGAAAAGGATGTCAAAACATGTGAAAATGCCAAACTTCCCAAAGGGGGTCTCAAAGGTGACAGCTTCTGGCTCTTTTGGGTAATTAAACTGGGTTTCTGACATAAAGAGATTATACTGTAGGAGAAGGAAAAAAGAGATACTGGTTAAAGGCACTTACTGCAATACCCTGGACTCATTCCCTAAAACTACTCAGAATTACCAGAGAAGTTTTTTGACCTGTGTTCAAAGATTTCACATGTTGGAAGTCAGGCTTAAGGGACTGGGACATCTGGCTTATGAGGAAAGGCGAGGAGACCTGGGACTGTTTAGTCTAGAGAAGAGATGACTGAGAGGCCTGTCACTGAAACAGGCTGCCTTGAGGTTGTGCAGTCTGTTTCTCTGGAGAATTTCAAGACCCATCTGGGTGGATTTCTGTGCGACCTGACCTAGGTCATCGTGCTCTGGCAGAGAAATTGGACTACATGATGCCCAGAGGTCCTTTCCAGCCCCTAACTTCTATTGACTCTCTATGATCAGGGAAAAAAATAAATAAAAAATAAGAAAGGGCCTGTCTTCCTTAAAGTCAAGATGCAGATGAACATTTCAAAATGCTGGAATGTGAAGGGGCAGTGTGGTGAGGAAATGGCACTGAAAACTTGAGCAGCATGGTTTCTAGTAACAGGGAGTTAACAAACTGAAGAAGTCAACCAAAAATATAAGCCATGAAACTGGACTTGAGGAATAATTTTTCATTCTAGCCTGTTTGGCGAAACATGGCAGCAAATGGAAATTTGGAGTCAATAATTCACACAAACAGAGAAATTATTTAAAATTATAAATTAGAACCAAAAATCTGTCATGGAACAGTGACTGGCATTTAATTACCTTGCCAAATTTTGGAATCTGTGGAAAAATAACTCCTGACTTTCCAAGGGCACTTTACCTTGTGGTAACGAGCCACCAGTTTCCCCTCCGGGTCAAAGACAACATCAGTGTTGTACTGATAGCGACCGTCACTGGGGCAGCTGGGATCACTGGAGTTACATGGCTTCTTGTCCCCAATGTTTGCAGCCACATAGATGGAGTTATTCCTGGCCATGCAGCTCAGCCGTTCCTGCACTGGAGCTGGAGCAAATCTAATGCATTTTAGAAAAAACGACTAAGAAAATCTGATCTGTCAGTGATGTCCATCACTGGCGTGCTGAGGGCACTGGTAGTGCCTCTAGTCCTGCAGTCATGGCAGGGCAGGTGGATTCATAGGGTGGCTGCAGGACTCCCTCACATTGCTTCCCACACCTTGGGACAGGTCCCATAGCACTTCCATCTGTGTCTGGAGGGACATGCTGCCCTTGGGCTGCCTGCCAGCACCCCTCAGCACCCAAAACATGCTCTGCAGCAAGTGGGTGACCCTGGAGCTGGGAAAGAGCAGCAGAGGAATTACAGAGCACAGGAAGAGACAGACTTGGTGTCACAGAAGAGAACACCTTAGCATCTGACATAGTATCATGTGTGAACTGTAGTTCTACAGGCATACCACAGTGGCAGTTCCATGGCTGAGAACTTACTAAAATCCAGCACACAGCTACAGCTTAACAGGATTCTGCTGGAACATGATGCTTGAACCATGTTCAAGTCTCTAGCACAGACTCTAGCAATTTGGATTTTATCTTATCTTAACTGTGGAAAACTAATATTAAGACTTTCTGGGCTTGTATCACTCCAAGGTTTGGACTTTGACTAGTGACCTAATCATTTATTACCTGCTCAGAAACTAGATCTGGACTGTCAACAGAAATGGCATGTGTGCTTTTATTTGAAAACCTGCATTTATAAAAAAACCCACAAACCAATAAAACAAATAAAAACCCATCTGGAGAATTTCCAATCAGTTCTATTCAAAACAGTGTGACAAATCCAAAACCAGAGCAAGAAGCAGCATATTCTAGCATCAAAGATTTCACATGAAAAAAAAAAATTAAAAAAATTTAAAAAAGAAAGTAGTTTCTATGTGATGTACTCAGGGGGGGTTGGACTAGATGATCTTTCGAGGTCCCTTCCAACCCCTAGGATTCTATGATTCTATGATTCTTCTACCCTGGGCAATCCAAGTTCTGTATTTTGTTTGAATTTCTCTTGAAAGTGTTTAATTCAAAACCCATTTTTTTAAAACAGGCCTTCCTAGTAATTTAGTCATGGACATGCTGTATCTTTTAACATGTAAGTTACCTTCACATACAACCTGAATTGAAATTTACCCTCATGTCAAAAGCATTAGCAGTAATCAGGCATTTATTGGGGCCAGCTCCTGATTCCATGAGGCATTAATTTGAAACCACATAAATCACTGCAGAAAGAATCACCTTGTGGGGTCTGTGCAGGGAATCCAGTTCACTGCCGGGTCAGGAATATCCTCCAGGTAGGGGTAGATGGTTTCTCTTGTGAAAAGCCAGCCATAAATGCCATCTTCAGGAGTCACAATGATGTGGGCGCCCTGACACAACAAGATCTGTTACAGTTTCACTCCAGATAACCAGGAAGTTCAGCAAGAGCAGAAAGTGCTAATTATCAATGCTCCTGAGACACTTCGTACCTGCTGGGCAGCTTTCTTGATGGCCCCTTCCAAGACATCCATGTTTTTGTTCATCAGGGCCAAAGCATCTTCGGGAGACGTGGGCTGGAGGGTGGCATCTGGCAGGATGACACTGTGCTCGTAAACGGCTGCGATGAAGGTGTTGGAGGCAAAGGCCTGGGGGACTGTGAGTGCCACCACGGCAGCAAGCAGGAGAGGCTGGGAAGGGAGCATGGCTGGGGCCTTGCAGCAAGGGCCAGGCACGGGGAATATAAACTCCTTAGAAAGAGAAGGAGTAAAGGTTAGTAAGTCTGCTTTGCAAATAATCTTCTATTGAGTAATCTGGGAAGTGCAGCACAGTTCTGCCAACAGCAGGGACACCTGTTTGTAGGTAAGAAGTCAAAGAAACACTTTTAGTAATTGGAACTTGTCTCCAGTTTGAACTGCTGTCAACAAAAGGTGAAGGAAAGGCTAAGAGGGCATGTCCTAGGCCATGCTGACCTACAGGGTGTCTGTGGAAGGAGCACTTACACTCTCCTTTTTATACATTCTCTCCAGACTCACAGCTCCTAGCATGCTGTGAGTCATGGAGAAGCAGTGCAAAAGGAGCATGCATGGAAATAAAAGAGGGACAAAGTTTAACTTTGAAGGAGGGAGGAATTGCTGGTCTGTCAAAGGGCTATCTTGGAATGAAGTGTCACTGGTAATATACAGGAATGTGTAACAGCATGCAGTAAGGATGTCACAACTAACAAGAATAAAATATTGGGCAATGCAAAGACTAATTTTGCCACTTTAAAAATATGTAATTAAACACATGGCTAGGAAGAACTGTCCAATTTTCCATAGAATCATAGAATATGCTGATTTGGAAGGGACCTATCAGGATCATCAAGTCCAACTCCTGTCCCTATGTAGGGCACCCCTAGAATCATACCATGTGCCTGAGAGCCAAATGCTTCTTGAACTCAGGCAGGCTTGGTGCTGTGACCACTTCCTTTGGTAGCTTGTTTCAGTGCTCAACCACCCTCTGTGTGAAAAACCTTTTCCTGATATCCAAATTAAACTTCCCCATATTCATCTTCCTGCCATTTCCCTGAGTCCTGTCATTGGTCACCAGAGTGAAGAGGTCAGTACCTGCCCCTTCTCTTCCCCTCATGAGGAAGCCATAGGCTACAAGGAGGTCACCCCTCAGCCTTCTCTTCTCCAAGCTGAATAATCCAAGTGACCTCAGCCACTCCTCATAAGACATCCCAACCAGGTCCTTCACCATCCTCGTGGCTCTCCTTTGGACACTTTCCAATAGCTTTATGTCCTTTTGATATTGTGGTGCTCAAAACTGAATGCAGTTCTCAAGGTGAGGCTGCACCAGTGCAGAGTAGAGCAGGACAATCACCTCCCTCGACTGGCTGGCAATGCTGCACTTGGTGCACCTCAGAACATGGTTGGCTCTCAACCATGGGCACACTGCTGGCTCATATTCAGTTTGCCATCAACCAGGACCCCCAGGTCCCTCTCCACCACCTTGCTGTCCAGCCACTCGTTCCCTACTCTGTCCTTACCACCAGGGTAGCCCCATCCCAGATGCAGAATCCAGCAATTGCCCTTGTTAAACTTCATGTGGTTGGTGACTGCCTGTCTCTCTAACCTGTCAAGGTCTCTCTAACCTGTTGAGGTCTCTCAACAAGGCCTGCCTATCCTCAAGGGAGTTGACAGCTCCTTCCAGCTTTGCATCATCAGCAAACTTACTTAGAATTCCTTCGAGTCCTGCGTCCAAGTAATTGATGAAGATGTGGAAGAGGACTAAGCCTAAGATGGAGCCCTGCAGGACCCCACTAGTGACCAGTCACCCATTCACTGTCACTCTTTGTGCTCAACCTGTGAGCCAGTTTCTCATCCATCGTATGGTAGGCTTATCCAGCTGTATGCAGGACATTTTGTCCAAGAGAATACTGTGAGAGATAGTATCAAAAGCTTTGCTTAAATCTGGAAATATTACATCCACTGGCTTCCCTTGACCAGATAGGTGGGTTTGTTGCTATACTTTTCTCTGTCATTCACTGCAACAGATTTTTGCTATCTATATTGGCTCAACTCTTCCACCAGGTGAAAGGTGGATATGCCATCCCTGGAGCTGGTCTTCAGTGAAGTTTGAGTGGCAAAATTGCATGTGTTAAAAATGGCTTATTTCTAATGTCTGCCTGTTCCCCAATGCCTCTGCTATGTGCCACTATGCATAGTTTGCTTCCCTGAGTTTCTTTAGACCAAAGTAATTAGCATCTCACTGTACTTAGATGTCATACACTTAACATGCCAGCAACAGAAATGTCCCCTGCATTTATCCCAGTGGCTCTCCCAGTTGCTTCTGTTCAGCTGTACATCACTTTCCAACAGCCTTTCACCAGAAAATATGCATCTAGAAGGAATATTTTCCTCTGAAATCAGGCAGGTAAGCCATCTGCCAGACCATAAACTGAGTACCTCATTTTCTGGCTGCCATTAGCCTGAAGCAGAAGGGCAGGCGAGTCCACCAAGTGCAGTGGCATGTCTGCTCCTCTGCTCATCTTTCCGGTCCCCAGGGACATGCTGTGTATTGAGAGGCCTTATTTTTTAATCTTTTGCTTCAATTCACTTCAAATGCATTTTTTGCTATGATATTTTCCATTGTTTGGCTTTCTAGCAGTTGCAGTATTCTCATTTGGAAAAAGTTTTCTGAATCAGGAGAAGCAGAACAGGCTGTCTGCCATCAGCTGCAGCAGACCATCACTCTAGAGCTGTCTCAGATAAGACAGAAATGTGAGTGAATGAAAGCACAGGAGAGTTCCCTGCAAGAGTAGCACCGACCGAGGGTTTCAACCATCAGGAATATTTATTTGCATCTGGTAACACTCACCTCTAAGGTACTTGTCTAGATTTTGCTAGCTACAGCATGCTCATTGTTTGACTAAACATTCACCAATTAGTGAGAGTTTATAGCCTGGGCTAAAGATTCAGCCCCACGTTGGCACCAATAGATCATTGTCCCTGTTCAACTCAGGATCGGCGATTAAACCAGCAACAATAATTGTCTTGATCCCCTCCCCCTCCCATGTAGGGAGGGAAAGGAAAGAGAATAAAGACAGAGGCTCTCACATTGAAAACCAGACAGCTTTGATTAAATCCTACTGATAAAAGAAAATACATACAATTACAGACAAATGTGTTCAGGAATGTGCAAAACCCTATAGCCTTCCCCTACGCCCAGCAACTCCCATGGTATCTCCTGAGCTGTGAACAGTTCTGAAATCTCCCAGAGCTGCCATAGAGAGCAACAGAGCAAACAGGAACTGAGGGGGGAGTTACGAGCATCAGGAATGCATGAGCCTAGGAATCAAATATGATGGATAGACAGAGTCCTCCCCAGATGCTAGCCATGGACAGAAGAGAAGGGAAAAAGCAGCAGGAAGGGGCTTGACTTCTACGATCCCTGAGATTACACAGACATAGGGAATAGAATATTTTGTTCAATGTTGCTGTCTCTCTAGTCTACTCCTTCCTATGGGAGGGTCTGCAGATAAGGCTCTTCTGCTCCTTCAGCATCTGAGGCTGCAGAGTCAACAAGCAGAGCAAAGCATCCTTGATGTCTCAGCAGTAACATAAACATCCCAGTGTTATCAGTCCCCTAGCTGGAAAACTTGCTGCTAGTTAAAAGAGCTCACTGAAGGAAAAAACCAAACAGTGAAAAGAAAAGCGGCTTCACCCTGGCTCAAACCAGAACACTCATTCAGGAGATTAAATACAAGCTTTTAAAAGATTGGAAAAAAGCTTGGAAGCTTTTTTTCAATCCCTCTGTTTTTCTTATCAAACTAAATTTGCCTTGAGTCACATTGACAACAACTATAAGTCTGAAGGAGGAAGCAGTAAACGATTCCTTGTTTAGCAACAGCTCAGACAAGTCAGCCCAGAATGGTGACTTTGCTGGCAGGGCTGAGTAGAAAAAGTTACAAGTGCAAGGGCTGGGGCACAGCCCTGCAAGTTTTAAGTCACACTGCCAGGATAGGGGGGTTTGTGTAGTACAGTGGGATAGAGGCAGCTCTGCCTGCCTCTGCAGCAGCAGGCACTACTGCAGCAGCAGGCATTACTACACCTACTGCCTGCAGAGCTGGGAGCTCACCCGGGAGCAAGGAACTCAATCCTTTTAAACAAACAAACCCACTGAATAAAACTTAACAAAACTCCAGCAGTCCAGGCAGTACATGGCTGTCTGCAATGTAAGAGGAAATTTATCCTAGAGCTCCCTCTACTTTTCACACCTTCACCCTCCAAATCCACTCTCCTCACCCCTCTTTACTGTGCTCTCCCCAGTCTGTGCTACTGCGTGAGGACTGTGGTTATCTGAGGACTTACTTCTGTGGGCAGGCTGCGATCTGATGCTAAATCTGCTTAGCTGTAGAGGTCATCCGTCTTCAGACTGTGGTCTTGCTTCTTGTGTTAAGAGAGACTGTGTGGAAGATGACTACTTATTTGAAGGGTTAACCTGGCTGTGGAGAAGCCTGTGTGACAGGTCACACCTGCAACCAGGCAACCACAGAGAAGCAGCCAGTACATGTAGGCAGGGGTGAAGAAATTGGAAGCCACTAATTTTTAGCAACAGCAAATTGACCTGCTGCTTGGTTGTAAGAGGACACCATGTTCTAGGGCATAGATATACATGTAGAGATACAGTACTTTTTCTCCACAAACAAGTAGAGTGTTTTCCATTCCTTCTATTACATGAATTGTAGAGTGTTACAATTTAATAGAGACTAAAATCTTGTTCTTACAATGTTGACTTTGTTCAAAACCAATGTATTTTACATCCTGCAAGTCTATTTTTCATTACTTTGGTCAGATTAAATTTGAACAATGTTTTAATTTCAGAACAAACATGCAGAACAAAGAACAGAATTAATAGCACACAGAAATCTAAGTCATGCCAGGCAAAACAATCCAGTTCACTTGCTTAGAAGGTACAGTCTTCAGAGCCTGCATGCACAGACATGCCAGTGATTCCATCTGCGCAAGCTGTTGGCCAGCCTTTCCCAACACCTGACTCTCCCTTGCACCAGCAAGAGCAACCATTTCACTGGAAGACAGATATGCACCTGCAAAATGGCTCATTTTGAGGATTTCTTATATGGACCCACCTAGCTTACTGAAAAAGATGACACAGTTACCAGTTCCCTTGTGGGAAGGAAATTTTCCACACCCTAAGAACATG